GTGATGGTGTTTCCCTCTTGTTATCTACGTATGTGATGGTGTTTCGCCATAGTTTACTACGTATGTGATGGTGTTTTCCCCTTGTTAACTACGTATGTGATGGTGTTTCCCCCTTGTTAACTATGTATGTGATGGTGTTTCCCCATAGTTATCTATGTATGTGATAGTGTTTCCCCATAGTTATCTATGTATGTGTTGGTGTTTCCCCATAGTTATCTACGTATGTGATGGTGATTCCCCCTTGTTATCTATGAATGTGATGGTGTTTCTCCATAGTTATCTATGTATGTGATGGTGTTTCCCCATAATTAACTATGTATGTGATGGTGTTTTCCCATAGTTATCTACGTATGTGATGGTGATTCCCCCTTGTTATCTATGTATGTGATGGTGTTTCCCCATAGTTATCTACGTATGTGATGGTGATTCCCCCTTGTTATCTATGAATGTGATGGTGTTTCTCCATAGTTAACTATGTATGTGATGGTGTTTCCCCCTCGTTATCTAGGTATGTGATGGTGTTTCCCCATAGTTATCTATGTATGTGATGGTGTTTCCCCCTTGCTATCTATGTATGTGATGGGGATTCTTCATAGTTAACTATGTATGTGATGGTGTTTCTCCATAGTTAAATATGTATGTGATGGTGTTTCTACCTATTTAACTTCATATGTGACGGTGTTTCTCCCTATTTAACTTTGTATGTGATGGTGTTTTCCTTCATTATAATTATATAATAATAATTTGAGGTTCTTATACACCGCTTTATCACAACATAGTTCGTAGGTTGTCTCAAAGTGGTTCACAAATTATTATCCGTGGTTATAGGGCCTTTGCAACCAGCCAATATCATTCTCAACTCCCTGGGGAGCATACAGCTGGTAAATGTACTGCTATTTCGGCGTTCACAGCTAGCTTTCTACAATTCTAGCACTGCTGTCACTTATACATTTGATGTTGTTTTTCTCTAATTGCCTAATTGTTTTTCTCCTAGGTACCTATTATTGATGTGCCAGACTATGGCAATCTAAGTGCTGTTAAAGCTTGTGAGGATTTTAAGATCCTTAGCCAGAATGACCGAGAGAAGCTTCAAGAGGCCAAGCAAACTGTGTACAAAAAGGGATTTTATGAAGGTGTAAGTTTAATTTCTAGCTGAGTCAAGTATTTCTAGTTAGGATATGAATTTCTTTGTACTATCTGTAATATTTTACCTGAAGTAATTTAAAACTGGGAAGAAATGAGTAAAATTCTATTGTTTGTAAAGGGTTTCAATGTTTATTTGATGTGTGTTTACTGTTTAGGTCATGATAGTTGAAGGCTACAAGGGACAGAAGGTTGAAAATGTCAAGAAAATCATACAAGAAATGATGATAAAAAGTGTAAGTATTAACAAAGTACTTTGTAAAAACAACAACAAAGTTTTCAAAAGCACCGGTCATTTAGCCCTGTGGCTGTGAAAAAGGACTTACCCACAGGTGAACTTAATTGGTTCAAAATTGATTTCACCTCTGGATACAACACTTATACAACCACTCCACTTTAAGTAATTGTACACCCCCACTTAGTAATTTTGATACATCTTAATTTTCATCCTCCCTCCCCACTTAGTGAAGGGGGTATATTATAATCATAGTGGGATATCCTGTAATTGTGCCCCCAACTTAGTGAGGGGGTATATATTCATTGTACCCCCAACCCCACACTACATGGAGTACATTTGTATGTAGTATTTCCTGTATGGGTGGAGGGGAAAAGTGTCTTGTACACAATTACTGTATGGGTGGGGGGGAAAAGTGTCTTGTACACAATTCCTTTATGGGTTGAGGGGAAAAGTGTCTTGTACACAATTGCTTTATGGGTGGAGGGGAAAAGGGTCTTGTACACCATAACTTTATGGGGGGAGGGGAAAAGTGTCTTGTACGCCAATACTTTATGGGGGGAGGGGGAAAGTGTCTTGTACACCATTAGTGTATGGGTGGAGGGGAAAAGGGTCTTGTACACCATTACTTTATGGGTGGAGGGGAAAAGTGTCTTGTACACCATAACTTTATGGGTGGAGGGGAAAAGTGTCTTGTACACCATTACTGTATGGGTGGAGGGGAAAAGTGTCTTGTCACCATTACTTTATGGGTGGAGGGGAAAAGTGTCTTGTACACCATTCCTTTATGGGTGGAGGGGAAAAGTGTCTTGAACACCATTACTTTATGGGTGGAGGGGAAAAGGGTCTTGTACACAATTACTTTATGGGTGGAGGGGAAAAGTGTCTTGTACACCATAACTTTATGGGTGGAGGGGAGAATGAGTTATTAGTGGGATGACTCATGCTAATGTCTATATCATTACTATTGATAATGAAACTAACAGGGAGACGCACTGAAGTACATGGAGCCAGAGAAGAAGGTGATATCACGATCCAATGATGAGTGTGTTGTGGCCAACTGTGACCAGTGGTAAGTACAGCCAGTATATTATAGTACAGTCAGTATAATATAGTACAGTCAGTATATTAAAGGACGGCCAGTATATTATAGTACCGCCAGTATATTATAGTACAGAAAGTTTATCATAGTACAGCCAGTATATTATAGTTCAGTCAGTATATTATAGTATAGTTAGTATAATATATTACAGCCAGTATATTATAGTACAGTCAGTATATTATAGTCCCCCCAGTATATTATAGTACAGTCAGTATATTAAAGTACGGCCAGTATATTATAGTACGGCCAGTATATTATAGTACAGACAGTTTATCATAGTACAGCCAGTATATTACAGTACAGTCAGTATATTATAGTACAGATAGTATATTATAATACAGCCAGTATATTATAGTACAGTCAGTATAT